TGTGTAGAAAGACTCCAACTGATTTAGACTCACTCACTGCAATCAGTTAAAGCATGTCTACCCTCTATTTTACTCTGGCTCTCACACACAGAGACATAGACGTGGAGCAACAGAGAAAAGCACAGCTGAGATCACAATGAGCGCCAGTAGGGCAGCAGTCCCTGGTGTTTAACATACAAAGTCTGACTATACTAAGGATCTGAGGTTTTGTATGCTCAGCATTGAATTCCAATGTGAGCCCCGTGACTGACAAATAGCAGCAGTAGTTAGATCTGAGATTTGGAAAGGCGTGCATTGTTTTGCTTCAAATGTTACAAAGTGAAAAGGAAAGGTATCAGTAAATAAACAATTTGAAAGGTAACTCAAACATCCTCATTTGGTTGTATCTGTCACCTCTACTGAACCAAAACCACAACAAGAGCCTAAATCTGATTAATCATATGATATGCACTTCATCTCAGAGGGAATGGAAGCACATTCAGTGATTATTAAGTGAGAAATGTTTAAAAAATGAGACATCATGAGAAGAAAAGAAGAAAAAGAGCCGAACAAGAGAAGAGCAGGGAAGAATAGAAGAAGAAGAGTGTTTCCCTCTCAGTTTCCATATGGCAGTTCAAACCAGGAGATGGCCTGTCCTGCATATGGAATCAATCTGAAATAGAGAGCCATAGCAATGAGTCCTAAAACCTAGAAGTGTGTTAGCATTTTTGCACCCCCAGTTCCCTCACCCTTAAGTCTATGGGTTTTTTTTAATGGGGTTTTGGTTAGACACCTGAAATAAGGTCTGTGGGTAACACAAGGCCAGTTTTTCATGTTTTGTTCTATGACAGAAAATACACCAGCAAATACTCCACTCATGATTAAAAGAGGTGGTTGCTAACAAGTGGCTAAATGAGACAACAGAGGGTATCTTGGATATTAACTATCACCACACCAAACACCAGTGGTGGAAGAAGTACTCAGATCCTTTACTTACATAAAAGTACCAATACAACATTTTAAAAATACCCTATTACAAAAAAAGGTCATGCAGTCACAATGTTACCTAAGGAAAAAGTACAAAAATATTAGCATCAAAACATGATTAAAGTACTAAAATGAAAACTCTTCATTATGCAGAATGGCACATTTCACATTCCTGTACAGTATATCAACTATTGGATTATATTGACTGAAGCATTATTGTGCACATCACATTTAATGTTGCAGCTGGTAAAGGGGCAGATAGTTTTAATGAGCTTATAAGCATTTAATTTGAATTACTGCTGGGTAGCTTGTGAATTTTTCACTGCAGATCAATGAGGTCTTAGAATTATACTGTATTTTTCTATTAATCTGATTCAGAAAAATCACTAGTAACTAAAATTATAACAAATGTAGTGGAGTAAAAAAGTACAATATTTGCCTCTAAAATGTGGTGAAGTCAAAGGATGAAGTAAGAGAAAATGAAAATACTCATGTAAAGTACAGATACCTCAAAATTGTACTTACTGTAAGTACAGTACTGAGTAAATGAACTTAGTTACTTTTCACCACTGATTTTATATTTGAGATGACTAAACTCCTTGGATAGATTGATTGACAAGCAGAGCCAGGTTGCAAGTCCTGTTTATTTTAATTGTTACTGTAACTGGTTACTCTGCAAATCTTTTTTAAAAATTAATCATTAGGTGTAAAAAATGTCTGGAGGGTTTGAAAAATGTTGAGTTTTACTTCCAAGAGCTGAAACGTACCCCTTCAAATTGCTTGTATTACATTTTTAAAGGCTGTCATAATAAAATAAACAGTTAATGATCTATCAATTATATCAAAATAGTTAGCAATAAATTTTCTGCCAAGTAATTCGTCAACTAATGGCTTTAGCTCTAATGCACACTTTTGTTTTCCATATGTGGACTGCAACAGTTTTGAATGTGGTGTGTTTGGCTTTTGAGAGGGTGCCGGAGACTTCCAGGTATATCAGGATACAATTGTTTCAAAGAAGTATAAAACTAACCAGTGTTTCACAAATAAGCAATGTTTAGAGAAAAGTCCAAAAAAGAAAGACTTTATTTAGCCTATTCTCGCATTGGTCATCACAAAACTCTGAGATTAATTTTGTGGCCCTTAGGTTGAGAACTACTGGATTAAACTCATTTTATACAGCTTTAAGTAGTTAAAGTAATCACAAAAATATTAAAGTAAAATATTTCTCAAGTAAAGATGCATCAGTATTTATGTAGCCCACAATCTATGGCATTAACCTTATCATAGACCAACATATCAGATAAATGGTAAACTAAACTTCATATCTTTGATCCTTAAGTAGGCCTACATTTTAAATACTTATATAATAATAATGTGACACCATCTGATACAGTTCAAGTTTATAGAATAACCTAACTCTACAGGTCGAGGATACTACTATACGGCCGGAGGAGACACGCATGCAAAAGATTCTTACCATTGTTCATGTCCCCGGTCGAGTGGATTCCACCGCAGCCTCCTTCAAGGTGTCATTTACTGCTCAGACATCTTGTCTGCAGACAGGAGGTTAATGGACCTCCTCACAAACACTGGACAGCCGGTGGTCCTGAGGTTGCAGCCGCGTGAGGAGGGTCTGTATTCAGTTTTACTTTGAAAGTCTTTCTACATCTCACTAAACACAGTTTTCAGTTTTTAGACACTTGTCTAAATACCACAGGTAGCAACACCATACGACCATGTTCTTCACTTCAAACTTAAAATTGATCAGCAGCTGTCGCGAGCTCGGCTCCGCTCCCCAGGGAACGCGCTGCTTCACGCGAGCGTTTGTGAAAGCTGATTTCAAAGTAAAAGCCTCTGTAGAAGGAGGAACGCCGTCTTCTTGGAGTGAAACGTGAGAAGCTTCCCCTCTCTATAATAACGTTTCTTCAGCTGCCAGAAAACTGAAGACAGAGCTTCACACAGGGAATGAGGCAGCCCATCTTACCCCCTAAACGAGAAACCAAAAGAAAAAAAATCTATATAACATATATAATCTATAGAATTTTTTAGGAGGGGGAAATCATGCATAAAATAAGCATCTCTTCCCAGCTGCATGGGAAATATATTCTAACCACATTCACCATTCACGGCACAGGTATGTTTATAATGGGGCAAATACTGTATAATGTTTTGTGGAGCAGAATGACAGTTTGTTTAGGTAAAACAAACAGGTCATATCACATGCATGAATAACTAACCAGCCACATAGCCTATTTCACATGTTAGCAGATGCCATTCACTTCATTATCCCATATTTGTTTAGGAAAAAATCTATTTTATTTCTTTGTGCCACTAGGTCCTGCTGCTCTTCCGGTCTTTTTGAACATGATACTGTATATTCCAGACATTGCCTATACATTTCATTTACACTCTACTATTACCAAATAATGAAAGTGATAGTTGTAGATGTTTGGGGCAGTGGCAGTAAATAATTTGTGAAGAGTGAGCTTGCAGCCTGAAGGTTCAGTCAACACCCTGGCAGGATACATCTGGGAGGGGAAAGTGAATAAGCAGCCCTCCTTCATAACCAACACTGAGGTGCTCTTGACCAAGGTCCTGAAGCCCCAAACCCCTTCACTGGAGCTGTTCAGTGTCCATCAGATCAGACTTCAGTTTTACTGGGCAGCTTCCAAGTCTAATAGTCTGTAGTTTGAGTGTTAACCGGGCATTTCTAACAAAGAGCATTGCTGTCAGCAATAATTCACTGGCCAAATGAATTATACATCATTATAACTTTTAATCAAGCTTTTTATCAAGATTTTTCTGTTTTACATTCTCTTCACTTGCAAGATCCCAGTTAACCCACAGGAATCATTAAACTTCCATGTTGTGTTATAGGTTCAACTTATTAACAGAGGCAGGAAAAAAGGTATCCTATAGGAATGACCACTGCCACAGCTGTGTCCTACATACACACTGATCCTTGTAGAAGGTTTAGGGTGCCCTCTTGTGTTCATCCAGGTTATTTGTTTGTTAGTCTTTCCTTTCCAACCACCCTGAGTTGGGCACAAGCCCTGCAGATATAGTTAGTGGTTAGTCAGGTCAGCAAAACCTCCATCCCACATGCTATGCAGGGTGAATTGGTGAGAGATCAGTTTGTCCAGGCCCTCATCCCTGACAAGCTTGGACTGCATGTGCAGCTTGTCCAACCTAGAACCTTGGGAAGGTCTGGAGCTCACTGTGGAGTGGGATACCACTGTCTGTGCACCAAGGCAGGGCTTTGTGCCCTGGTTCATGGCCACAGCACAGTGTGGCCAGCCAGAGACCGATGAGGAGGAGGCAGCCTGCTAGATTGCTGCCACGCCACCAATACCTGCACTGATACCAGGCGAGTCAGTGAGGGCTCATACGGGAGGAGCTACGGAAGGACAAAGTGCCAGCGCAGTCGGCATGCCGAGGACCAGGATACCACCACACGGCAGCAGTGTCCCTGCAGGCTGTTTCCCCCTGACCCAGCAACCACATGCTCCCCTGCAGCAGGACAGGTGGGGGCCCGATGGATGCAGAGCCTCACCAAATGTAGGATACTTGCAACCCGAGAACTTTTGAGAGGTTTTGAATATGCTGAATATTCTTTCAGGAAAATAGTTGCATGGATAATAAATCCATTTGATTTTCAGTGTGTTTTTTACTATTGTGCCACAGTGCAATGCACAAAGAAAATAAAGGGGGCAGTCACAACATTTATCTATCTAGCTATCTGTCTGTCTGTCTGTCTGTCTGTCTGTCTGTCTGTCTGTGTTTGTGTGTGTAATATTGTCCTATTTCCTGTTAACAAAGTGAAAGTACAATGGCTTCATGGATACTAAAAGTACTGTAGCACATAAGGAACATGACTACAGGGTGAGTAGTATGTGAGACACAGGTGCCTGTAGGTGGCAGTGTTGGTATGTTTTTGAACTCAAAATCATGAAATTTTCTTAAAATAACATATTGTGTTTCACATTGTCATCTAAGACATACTGCTAAAAGCTTGAGACTACAGTGTAAGTTTATCAATGTGGGGCTAGAAATTGCTAGTGACAGTCAACTGTACAGCCATTTGTATCTCTAGCACCAGTGACTGTTAAAGCTTGCAGTATAATTTATTAAAGCAGGGGAATACACAACTACACACACACAAAATTAAAAAAAAAAGTTGTGTTATGTTATTTTATGATAATTTGCTAGTTTGATTCAGCACATGAACTGCTGCCTTTTTGATGTGGGCAGCACCTTCCTTTTTATAAAAAAGAGCTTATTCTGCATGTTTAAAAGTACAACACTAAAGTGCACCATAACAGGAGAAAAGTGTCCGACTCAGAGCTGTCCTGAAATGATTCCAGTCCACGAAGGAGTGTGTGTGCAGACAAGCACTGAGTGTGGTATACAGAAAGAAGGAGGAGATGGAGAACATGTGTGTAGCACATAGCTCATGCTGATTGTGCTCATCTGGTCTCTGACCTTTCTGTCTCTCCGCTGCCTTCCCACCTACTCACTCATGCCTTATGTTCGGGACCACTGTCTCGCTGTACAATCAGCTGCTTCATCTGACTCTACTGACCTCTGACTCCTCACCCTGACAAACCAGCCATACGACCCCTGCAGCTCACCCTTTGACATTTCAGCTGCATAAAAGATCCATTAAACGGGATTGTGTGTGTGGAAAACACAAGATCAGATTTTTGTGCAAAGGAGTGCATGTACATTCAGTAACATGGCTGAATTTGTGTGTGTGCACAGTACATATGTGTGCTCAGTTGTTCTGCATTAGTCCATTCTGCAGGCTTCATGGAAGGCAGAAGGCAAATACTTCCAAACCACTGAGAGGCATATAGAGGAAATATTTCCATGCAACACAGTGAAAGCTTTGTTCTCTGGAAGCATTCCTCTGAATTTACACTACTGTACATTATCAGCACTTTGAAACCATTGTTCATTTATCTTGTAGCGTAGATAAAGCTCTATGGTCTGTAAAATCAATATCTTCTGTGGTGACACACTTGAAAAACAATGCTGCTGTCCCTGCTTCTTCCCTGGGACTGTCCTTTCAGTGTGTGATAATTTGAATTGTTTAATCTGTGGTTTAATAAACAAACATCAACCAAGTCTGCCAACACTGCTACGATTATATACTGCAACTGTATTGCTGCAGGATGTGCAACTGCTCAGGGCCCTTTTTATTTGAATCTGCAGAAACTCCCAAGCTGTTGGAGACACCCATCATAATCTTACAAGACAGTGAGACAGAGATAATAAATGGGCCCACATATTTGCACCATTATCAGATAAGCTTTCTCGTACTGTTTAATGCTTGGACAGCTCTGGGGAAACTCCAACCAAGACATCTACACACCAGAATGATGGTTCCACATAATTTTTGTTCAGCTGTCACTTTTCTCTTTTTCATTTTTCTTCTAATTCTGCTGTCCCACTCCTTTGGTAGTGCCATCTTATTCATGTTTTGAATTCATCAAAACCAGAGGCTTAAAATATGTTTTCTCAAGTACTCACTTAAGTACAGTTCTGGGGTATTTGTGTATTGTTCTAAGGAATTTTTATTTTCATTTTAGTAAATAAGTAAAAAGTAAAATCCTACATGTATGGTTTGTTTAGTTGTATTGTTTATTTATTAAAGATATTAAATATTATTTGCAAAATGTTCATACAGTATCAAAAGTAAATGTACTCACTATGCAAAATGACCTTTTTCAATGTTTTGATGAATAACAGACATTCTAATAGTAGCTGATTAAGGTGCAACTGATTTGAACTACTCAATGTGAAACTTACTAAACTCCTAAGAAGTTCAAATTGATTATTTCAACCTTCTACTAACATTGTTTTAATAACCTTTTTTAAATTAAAGTGAGAATCTTAAACAAAAGAGTTAAAATCAAGTAACATGTCAACGTACTACACAGAAATAATTTAGTTGGCTTTTAAATTATGTAACTTTCATTTGTTTTTAGGTCATAAGATCAGACAGAATCCAGGGATGAAGAGCACCAATGGGAAGAGATGGAGGAAAGAAAGAGGAATCAGCACCTAATGTCATAACACACAGGATGATTGAAGAGACACAGGTCCTGATTTGAGGTCTGTAACATATAAATCCACTGTTACTGAACATCCCAGAGCAGATGACTTAGGTCACAGGAACACACATATAAACATGTAAACAAGCGGTTCTCATGCAACAGAGAACCTCACATCAAGGAACAACAGCAAAACTCTGCATCAGAATGTACTCTAGTGTGAGTGGTATCATTAGTTTTACCAGCTGTCAGACCACTGTTTTGCTGTGGACAAGAAACAGGACAGACCCTGTGTGAGTGTGTGTCCATTTATGTGCAGCCCTGCAAGAGACTTACCCAAGGCAAAGTTCCATCACTGTAATGAAAGCCAGGAAACTGTAATAGGTTAATATAATCCCAATGCAGTTGCTCTAAGCAGACTGACATAAAAGCTAAAAGCCTAAAAACTGTAACTTTTGGTAGAATTTACAAGATATTATTTAATCAGGTTCATTGTTAATGTATTTTGCTATAATCTGCAGAAAAGGTTAGCTTTTATCTAACTATGACAAAAAATGGCTCAACTGACAATGTGAGTATGCTCAATAAAGAATTTGATGTACAGGTACACTGGAACATTAGCAGTATTAATCTTCATGTAAAAGATTTACTCTGCATTTCAACATTATGTTTGTTTCTGATATGTAAACCAGCAGACCTTGCACACATATTGCAGAAATGACCAATGTCAGTATCATCACCAATTGTTCAGGAATTCATATCCATGTAAA